TTCTCAATGTCAACACTGGATTGCAAGTCCAAACCTCACACTTTTCTGCCTAATAATAACTCTGAGTGAGAGGAATTCTAGATAAGCTTAACATTTAAATAGACGCCATTTGTACCCTATTTCCTTCTGCGAGCAAACTCTGGAAGTAAAGCCCCTAGCCTTAACGTTCTGACAACCAAGCCCACATGTGTCCTGAGTTAAGGGCCTCTATTGAGTGCAGCGTAGGACGGTAAGCCAGTAAGCAAAATTAATTAAAAATACCTCCATTACTTTTTACAACTAAAACAAGAATTTTATCACGAACTTCCCCAGTCTTTCAGTTTCCTGAATGGTACTCAGTGATGATTTTGCTGGGATATTTACTGTAAACGCATCTCCTGTGATTAAAGCTGCGTATTATTCTGTTGCAGCCGCATTACATGGGAAACAGAATGTCCAACTTATTTAACACAGTTGCAAACTACCTTGGGAGTAAACAGACTAATCTTCATTCAACCGAATTTGCTAGACAACTGTCACCTCAAAATATGAAAATGTTAATCGAATTTCAATCTTTTATAAATAGGAAAAACCCCGTTTTCAACGCTTGCACCAATAGTATCACGGTTGTATTTTTGAAAATATTGTCTTAGTTTGCATATTTAAATCTGAAACATTAACTGTAACTCATATATTATTTCTGAAACCCAGTTAACTTGGGATTAAGGAGAAATCGGTAGTTAAATTCGAATAGATGCTTTTGGACGCGCTCCTTGGGACATGGAATTTGAATGAATGGGGTATGAGCGCAATAACCTTCAGTTCACACCAGAGTTTTGAACGAATACTTTCACAAACAAACCTACTGTGTATCCATATGACACGAATGGACAGCTGACGCCAGGCAGTAGATGGTATATTTTGCAAGGTGAATTTCGAAATCACATGGCTGACAGTTACCCGTGCGTTTTGTTGTGCAGTTTATTTGATTGTATAAAGCACTAGGTTGACAAAAAGTTTGAAATATTTTGGAAACGGTATTAACAGCCGTGGAAGGATCGGTTTGAAATGGTGTAAGGCTACACTAATGCATATGAATTACTAAAAGAATGCTATCTGACTGGGGTTACTCGTCGTATCCGTAAGCACTTATTCATAAACTTACACCTGGACAGCGTCCCACTTGCCGGCTATCATATTCGATCACTTTAGAAATTTTATACCCATCATATTTTGGAAGCTTCCTATGTATTCTTCGATGCCCAGTTACTTTTTCCTCGCTAATCTACGATAGTTGCACTCATACTTATATCCGTTTCAACAATTTTTATTTTAATCTTTTCAGTTGGCTGCCTCAACTACATGAATATTTCATCCGATAGTTTTATTAACTAGAATTTAATTATTTTTAAATATAAACCCTTAAACTATATTTTAAGATTATGTCCCGAATCAAAACGTAAGCTATGGCTATAACTTGCTTCAGCTTTCAGTTTTATCAATTCTTTTAGTCCAGTGTCAATTTAAGGCAGGGTCTGCATGTGTGTGGGCTTCGCTTTCTGCGTTTTTGAGTGGAATCTTCCGAAAAATGAATAAATGTGCTGTTGTTCATGGATAAATGGCTTTCAGTAAACAGAGTTTTGTTTCTCATTGAAAATTTCAGTTGAGCATTTTCTGCTTTGCGTGTATTTTTTCGCCTAGGATTTATTTCTATTACAAGGGAAGATATTTAGCCAGTGTTTCGTGTTATACTTAAATTAAGTATATTCATCAGAGCTTTCTCGGTGAAAGTCTTGCAGGATACCCTCAAAAGCAACTGCATGACAAAGCTATAATTTTGAAAAATAAGGTTTAATTTCAAAATCTAGCTTTTTGGGTCACAGGTAGGTCCGAAGAATGATTTCAAGCGTCAATATGGTTGACCGAAGTCAAATAAAATAAACTTCGGTCGTAGTTAAAGTCCACGTTTTTCCCCTTTTCTCTGAGGTAGTTAAAACTCTTTGCCTTCGTACATATGAGGACGTTAAACCAAAATGTTTTAGACCAACCTAGGGGAAGGATGCTAAATCATTGGAAGCCATTCTGTTTTCTATACAAAAATCTTTCATCAATGGCAGCAAAATTTGCTCTATAATTAAGCCTTTTCTAATAAGGCATGGATTTGATCGATTATACACATGGCAATCGATGTCTTTTATTGGGCTTATAACTGATTATTATCAAGAACCTCCTTCGCACGTAATTTAAATTCCTTATCAGATTTAAGGATTGACACACATTAAATCTTTATTTTGAGCTCTGTTGTTGTTATAATGGCACGTTTGTATTCTGCTCTATAAATTTCTACATAAATAATTTAATGTCAATTTCCTACCAATATCCGCCATGTGAGAATGACCTTTTCAGAAAATGTCGTCTTGATTCACACTGTATGTTATCCCTACCTTTTTTGCAAACTAAGCTATAAGTTCGTTAAAAGCTGTATTCAGCATGTTGTAAGCCGACCTTCGCTACCTCACTTGATCATGTGAAAATGCTCCAGACGAATGCATATTCTGTGCTTTCCCCCCTATTATGTGATGCACTTTCTCTGCCCATGT